TGGCTACTCTGGTGGAGTACTAGAGAACTTCTGGAGGAGCATGGGAGAGTTCCGAGGAATGCAGGAAGTGTTCAGGAGAGTTCCTACTGCAAGGTAATACTTCTACAGGAAATAGGATGGAAGGATAGGAGGTACAAAGGTCCAGAGGACAGGAAGACAGAGGACAGGAGGATAGGATGTCCAAAGGTACAGAGGGTAGGATGTCCAAAGGACAGGAGGATAGGACATCTGAGAGACTAGGAGAACAGGATGCCTGAAGGTGAGGAGGGCAGGATGTCCAAAGGACAGGACATCCAGAGGCCTGGAAGGAACAGGGGCTACATCAAATGGAGTCTGATGTAGAAACAAACAGAGGTAGGTTACCCTAAGGTAGAGTTGGAGAGACAGGGATTGGACCTAAGTCCAGAAGGAGGGTAAGTGCCAGAAAGGCAAAGCTCTGGCCTAGGGAATCAATCCCTAGGCCTAATGGATAGGACAGACTTAGGTGGACCAAAGTCTGAGAAAGGATTAGGCAAGTAGAACAGGATCTAAGATGATATTGAACTGAGAAACTACAGGAGTATCTACAGGGGTTGTATACTGGACAATATCTGAGGGGATCAGTAAGCACAGGAGCAGGGCTATGTATGAGCATGTGGAAACACATTAGTAAGTAAGATGGAACATAACTAAATAAACTCAGAGATGAAGACTCGTACAAGGATCAATCAGCAAGATGGAATGAGAGGTAACTGAAAGCTAGAAAGGCAGAGATGTCTAAATGGGGATGGGCACAGGATATCGGACAGAGGGTGGGAATATATCCGGAGATAGTTATGGCTGATATCTGGAGGTCTGGAGATCTGAGGATCTGGAAGGTGAGGTAGATATAGTCCTGAATCTGAGATGAGGTAAAGTTCAGATGTCTTGCTGGATGGAGTGCACATAGGGTGGACAGGATAGGGTGGTATGGATCAGGCTAGTAGTGAGGATCTGGAGGTCTGGAGCTCAGGGGTAAATCCAGAATGGAGTTGATCCTACTGAGGTATAGAGCACACAGTGGAAAGGGATCTGGGAATGAGTCGGATATGGGGTCCAGATGTAGGCTTGAAGGTGTGGGAATATTATGGATTGTGGGTCCGGATTGTGGGATATGACATTCATGCACAATACAATTCTCAATGTTTTGGATCATTTCATGGAAAGAAAGGACCAATGATGTCTGGCAATGTATTGTGACCTTCTGAGTGGACAACACAACAATGAGTTAGACACTTGGGATGCTCTAACAGGTAATTGCTACATTGACTTCTGTGCCAACCTCATTTTGGTGATGATGAATTGAAAATATGAATGAGTCAAGCTCATTGTCCACAGTACCATGCATGGGAATGATCAGAACTGACAACTTAACTTGATGTGGCAAATACATGTTTTCGATGGAGATGAGCTCAAGGATTTGATATGAATTTATTTTTGGCTTCCTCCTTTTCTGCTTGCTTAAGATCTGCTAGTGTGATTGAGTTGATTATGAATGCATCACATTCAAAATCTTTTCATTACATCTGAATCTGAGCAGATTGAAGTGCTTTATGTTTCTGCATGATGCTGAAAATGACAAAGGGAAATGAGTGATGGGTGTGGAACCGACAATCATGGTATTGCAATGTCCATCAAATATGTTCATCAAATCCAACAGTTTTTGTATGTGTTGCTTCAATTCCTCTGACTCTATAGGGAGAGCTTTGGATATGTAGTGGCCAATGGATTTATTTGTTCAGATTCTTCTCCTTTTTGGTCTCGAGCAAAATCAGAAACAGGATCATGACTATGATGAACAGCATATCCTCCATTGGCATCCAGATTCATGAGCACATACTTCATCAAATCATTCAACAGCAATTTATTGAGTTCTGTATCTGTGATCCCAAGAAATTTCAATGGTATCACATCACCACCTACAAAAAAAAAGCCATTCAAGACAGTTATCACTTCAATAATCACAACTCAAACCTTCAACATCATAATTCACAACACCATCTCCATCTTGACTTTGCAACTCTGGTATAACATCATTATCATTCTTTTCAAATTCAAATCAACATGATATTCACATTGAACTTAAATCATAAACTCACCATCATCTACAGGAACATAGATAGTGTGGTGTTGCAATCTGGACATGATGAATCAATAACAATATTAGTAGAGAAGTCCAATGTCAGCTCATGACTAATCAGACACACCAGCTTCACCTTACAACTAAGGGTTATATATCTACAACAGGGCACCATGTGTTGCATGACACATGGATGGTGCCATGCTGGCATGCATGGAATGGCCATGGCTCAACCTGGCTAAATTACATGGCAAATGTGTTTTATTAGTGACCAGGTGGAGTGAGAGAATCTCATCACTCACCAGCAAGATGTGCAGATCAACTTTGCTAGAAGGTCCTGGCCATATTAGGAGAGGGAGGCCACATGGTCTTTATTTGAACTTGCATCCTGTAAGGGTGGGTCATCATGATTGCTCATCATCTGGTTGTTATTGTGAAAGGGTCTTTCAGACATGGGATTGACTGTATGAACACAGACACAAGCAATAAAACACGTTGATAATGACTCCTCACATTCCTCCAGCAGGTACTTGGCCTGATACTTGATGCAATTGAGCACCTGGAGCACATACCAATGCATACTCAACTGTGGGCTGGGAGATTGCAGATGGGTAATGTCATCATCCTGCTCATCCTGCTATGTTTTAGATTTGATTGTAGACAGAGATACAGAATCAGTACATACACAATAAGATGTCTCATCCACAAGTGGATCATGTTGGACATGCTTGCTCAGCTTGGACATGGAAAGGACCTGCAATGCACAACATTTCTTGGCAGAGAAGCACATTATGAATCAAGATAGTAAAATTGGTAGATAGAATGCCAATTAAGATGGGGAATCAGCAGACAGAATGTCAATGAAGATTGTTAAAGTGAGAGTTAGAAGAATGAGCACATAGAGTATATTCACATGTAGATTACATAAGCAACACATTTGTCATACTTGAAACCTTACAAGATCACACATGTATGGAAGACAAGGATTTGTACGAGGTGCACTTAGATTGGGAGAGAGTTAGTGATACAATTAGATATTGAGATATAGACTAATTGCAGTCTTAGGGTTTCTGTACTTGCATGAAGGAGATCAGACCAGAGGGAGAGAATCCAAGAGTTTAGTGAGCAAAGGTAAGATTGGATTGTTGAATACAAGTAAGAGCATGCATTAAAGATGAGATCTAAATGTGTTGTGTTTGGACTGTGAAGCTTCAAAGGCTTCATAGTCGGTGGGGAAGGTCTGGTTTTCTAGACCATAGCTGCAGGTGTGGTCTGAAGGTTTTGAGTCCAGTGCTTAAGAAGACAAAGATGAGAGGGCCACACAAGGAACAAGCCAAATCTTTTGAGCATGCAAAGGTTAGTCTTGAGATGCAGGATGAAGGGGATTACAATAAGAGAAATGAGGCCAGACCACTGAATGAGTGCAGCTCAAACATGAGTCAAGTGACTCTTTGAGGAACCAGAACCCCACAAAACATGAGACATTAGAGGAAGACATTGTGTCACATTGCAAAAGGTAACAGTAATATACATTATACATGGTGGTATTGGAAATTGTGGATGGATGTTGGTAAATGAGTCAGAGCAAATGCTGGTTTTGACCATAGTGGAAATGAATAAAAGGACAATGGACTCAGTCTGGCCAAGAAAGGATCTGGTAGCAGGTGGACTAGAGGTAGTCATATTGATAAAGACTTGAGGCAATTTGAAGGATTGGCAAGAAAATATGTATAAAATTATCGTGCTGAGAACTGGGAAGATGAAAGCATGAGGTAAAGAGAATCTGTCTATGTTTTCAAAGAAGCATACTGATGTACCAGTGCGCATGGGCTGAGATCTATGTGTCAAGCCATTAGGTTTTTATTTGTTATTGTATATCTACTCTTCATCTCACTATGTTAAATATCTTTGTGGAGCAGTATAGAGGCAAAGCGTATCTTGTCTTACAAAGTCCAAACCCTGCATACTCTCATCACCATACCTTAAGAATTGTTAGATGTACGTCCTGAACTGCTTCACATTACATGTCAAAAGACAAAAGGTTGCCATCTAAAGGTAGAGTTTAAAAGCAGGATATTCTCAGATAATGCTACAATTTGGTTGGTGTCAGTGGATAAATGATAGTATTATACCTAGGCAACACAACATAAGCATGTGGAAGTCATACTAAAAGCATCAGAGCAAGCTGTTCATTGTCCACATAGGAAACAGGAACGCAAGATCATCATAAGCAAGGATTCAGAACAGTCGCACCACAAGCATCAGAGCAAGCTGCTCATTGTTCCCATGGGGAACAGAAGCACAGAACTTTCAAGGCAGGCTGCAGATGTAACACAAAGGGAGGAAAGCAAGACTTACCTCAATGACATTTGAACATGATTTAACTGATTTTCATACACCATGTTGACAAATTGTTGGGACCATGATGGGCAGGTCACTGTCAATGAAGATAAAATGCTCATGTGGCATGGAACCCATGATGATGAGGGTAAAAGTGAAAGAGTAGGAATGCATTCACAAAGAATTTGAACATCAAATAACATGATGTTCTCATGCCACCACTGGCTGTGCACAGACTATGGGTTTTTCTGTGATTATCAATTGGAGTCTGAAACCTTAAATGGTAGTGTCTGTGAAGACTGGATGTAGTACATGTGAATAGGACAGTTTGACAGACAAGTTTGGACAAAACCCCAATTGTTACATGTTGAAATGAGGTGAGCTTGGTTTTACATATCACTGTTGCTTTCACCTTGTGCTTTAGCATTCGCAAGACATGATTTAAATCCAAACATGGTAGTGACAGCCATCACAGACCTATCCTAGGTCAAATATTTGCCTGAAGGCATGAATCTGCAGTTAACTTTCATGTTGACACTTACAGAGTATTCCAGAATGGATCATGCTAGTGGTGAAGAAGAAGCTTGCTCTTGACCATTTAATTGTTCAGAAGATGGACAACAATTATGACAACACTGGCAAAGGTCTCCAGTTGATCATCATGTTTGAAGCTAAAGCCATGTTTGAAGAAGGTGATGAGTCCTCAAAGAACATATCCTGTGCCTACATCATTGCCATCATTGGATGTAGGCCTCAAATTCCATTTTAAGACATTGACAATGATGTTGAGAAACTCATCGAGAAGACTGAAGTGAAGGGTGATCAACAGGCAGTTACCAAGGAGGCTGGGCTCTCCTTTGTGTTTTCCAAGGTATGGGCAGCAGACAAGAAGTGAATAGCCACTGTGAAGGGTGCAGAGCAGGTAACCAGAGTCACAGGCAGAGGTGCTTGCAGGAAGGTGGCTGCTATATTCCCTCAGGTAAATCCAATGATGTCTACCCACTAATGTGCATGGCTGATTGTTTCTGCTGCAAAGGCTTGATTACATTGAAGGTTTGGAAGACTCACCCCACATGAGCAAGAAAAAGAAGAAGCATTGACCTTCACTGGTTGCATGTGTGTGAGATGACTCATTGAAATCTAAAGGCACTCATTTGTAATGAATTAGAAGATAATCTGCAACATCTGCGTGTTACATCAATTGGAGCCATGTAAGTAAGTGTTCACTGTATGATACCTATTTCTCTTCTCTGTGCTCAGGTGAGTGGCCACTGGTACCATATGCATCCATAATTATGGGATCATGCCCCATGAATCCATGATGGACATGCAATAGCCTTTTGTGTCAGTCAGCATTGCAGGCATATATACTTGAGCTTTGTCTCGACCTAGCATTGTCCAAAATATTGTTTTCCACCCAGATGAAATATCATGTTGTATGTTGGTGCTTGACACAGCACATTCAAACACCAGTATATATCCAGGCCCCAAGGCTGACCATCCCTCAGATTAGAGTATGCTAATACCCTTGCATCCATGACACAATGTCACACATCATCAGGACTGATATAAATGGTTGCAAATGAGATAAAAACCAGAGACTGGTTTAGTGCATGCCTGTCTTCCCCAAATGATTATTCCATCATATCCCAGATTTGCATGTCAAATACATAGACATTTTCGATGAAATGATGTAATGCTGGGATGACTATGGAATCAATTGTTGATATGCCCGCAAAAGTGAGGACAAAGTCGAACACATCACTACATAATGTTATATCAGATTCAAGAATACTTGCATGAGAATAAAAAATGACAGACAGCTCAACAAAGTGCTTCAATAGATTTGCACTTTTGGTCAGTCTACCTGTAGAGCCACAGTAACATATTACTAGCCCATGAATGCATGGCCCTGCTCCAGATCCCTTATTAATGGCTGCAATTGCCTGCATCACAGGCCTCAAATTGTCATCTCCTATGTAGCTTGACAGCAGCTGTAGGAGCCATGATGCAATTGAATGAAGGCCTTTCCTTTGTTGGATGTCTGCTCACCTCATGGATTGGCACTGCTACTGGGTTCTTGGCATTTCCAGACATGACTAAATTCCCTGTTGCAGTATCCGAATGACTGTTGATAAAAATTAACAAGTTTCCCTTGTACTGGAGGTTTGCTAGCCACTTAAAATGTGGTGTCATGATGCTCAGGTGATTGTTTCCAGCTTTAATGGATCACAATGCCAGATGAAGCTGAGGAATACACCTGTGAACAATAGATTCATCAAGAAGCATTAAAATCACATACTCTGGTCAGATCAGGACTGAAATGTTCTATGAGTGATATTGTCACGATATTTGAGGCATACGTGCTGCTGAATCCACTCCAAGATAAGAATATTACAAGCAGTGGGAAGTAATTTCAATGCAAGAAGTCTTGTCTGACAGAGTATCCTTGAACATTGTACTGCTAATCCCAGTTAGCAGCAGATAGACAATTTAAATAGTTTTATGATTCACCATAATCAGGATTCCAGCTGCATGATGGCATTAAGGGCAAAGGAATGTATCCTTCATCACCTTGAGGTCTCCTGATGATTGATCTGGGGATGCATCTATACACCCATGATCTCCAGCACCCTTACTAACACAAATAGGAATATTGCAACCTTTTTCATTACACCTCCATATAAACAATCCAATATCATGACAATAGATACAAAACTATGCCAGATATGGATGTCAGTAATGTGAATATCTCCACTTCATAGCAACATACAAGTGTTGGATCCTTGACGGTATTGGTAAAGTGATGGAGTTGCCTTTTCAATGGATGTTCATCATCAATGTCCATTGCAGTACCATTATTATCAATGATTGGAGTCAATCATACATATGATGCATCAAGTGAATCAGACTTTGGGTGAGTGTGCTTTGCAGTTGATGTTGCCTGTTATGTAGTGCTTGGCTGATTTCTCATTCTATGTGACAGCCCTGATGCTGCCAATGACATTGTCTGTGTTTGTGCAATTGCTGAGGCACTTCCTGCATGTGGCACCTGAAAGTGCTTTGAATTCAACATTTTTCACAAGGACAGAATGGTGTGTGGCTACAAACAAAAATCAACCTGGTTTCCCACATGAGTGACCCTATCAGGATATATTACTGAACTGAGACATGAATTAGTGTTGTCTCATTATGGTTATCATATTTGAGTGTCATAATATAATGTATTCACAGTATCATGGCCAGCTAGCAAATGTCTTGCTGCATCTGTAGCCACAATATAGTTATCAAAGTTGTGAGATAATTGTACATCAATAATGTAATGTACTGAATTGCATTTTGCAACCAGATTAACTCCACAAGCCCACTGGATCATTGACCAGATTGTTATTGTGTGGTTTTGCATGCACAATGGAAGATTTGTCAGTAGTCCCCACATCTGCATATCAAGTTATGCCAGAACAACACACTGGATGATCTTGTACCTTCTTGAACACTAGCAATTAAATCCTTGATGGCTTCCAACACTGCCTCTCATGCATTAAATAAATTCCCAACATCAAATCCACTCATCTTGGAAATCAAGGACTACACTCCAACTGTCACCAATGTCATTTTATTGTATGAGGCATTGTTGGATATTGAGAGCAATAGGACTTCATTAACAGTCGCCAAAGGATTGACACTGGTAAAGTCAATACTCCTGATTAGTGTGGTTTAAATTCAACTGTCGATTACATAGCTCGAGATTCCTGATGCATGCATCAATGCACTGAGACTTGTCATCCACCAACTCCATCTGTACCAATCTACCATGAAGGTCTTGCAGGAACTTCTGCAATCAGAAGCTATTCACAATGAGCTGCACCTCTACATTTCTCTTGCTGCATACCTAGCATCAATTGTAGCTGCCTTCAAAGGAGAGCTTGGGACAGACAATGCAATGAGCTCCATCATGATGTGGAGGTCAGTGCATTTGCATTTACACAGGAGCAACAGGCAATCACATTGAAAATGATCAAGTGCTCCTGGAACCACTTCAGGGAGGAGAAAATGTACAAAAAGGTACAAACCCGTGAGTGATCCATCTATCATCTTGTCATCGAAGTATAAGAATGTGATACCATATCTATTCCAGTTACAGGTGCTGGAATGCACAAGGCCTTCTGCCTGAATGGCAACAACATGTGTGGTGGCCTATTCAAGCACACACACAAGTAGTCCCAATTAATTGCCAAGACCATTCAGGCCCTTTGATCTCAGCCACAGGTTGCAATAAAACAGGAGAAGGTAGTATGCTTTGACAATCCTAAACTGTCGGTTTTGGTGGAAATCAGGAAAAAGCCTATTCAGAATGCAACTGATGTATCCCAGTCCAAGTCATCAAAGGGGAGGAATATAAAGGCCACAGCATGGTCTGTTAGCAATGTGCAAGACTCATTTGACAACATGGAGTTTGACCTGCAGGATATTGGTAATGATCCACCAACATGAGTATCCAGTGTGAAGCACAGAAAATCAGGTGGGCTTTGCATGTCTATGGCACTGGTATTGGGTAGTGGTGAGCTTAGACTTTCAGTGTTGGTGTCCAATGAGGAGGTGTGACATTCTTGATTGACATTTCAATTAACTACATGATCCACCATAGGACAGCCAATCTGAACAAGTCATAAATCTTTTTGAAAGAAAGAAAGATGTAAAGAAGATACACAAACCCCAGAAGGCCAGTCTGAAAGGCAAGCATTCCACATGAAAGGGGAAGAAAAAAGAGATGGCACATGAGATTGAGTCTGAGGAGGGGCAAAATATGGACGCTCGTACTCCTGCTTGTATTGAAATGGATGTAGGTTTCTCTACAATCCATTCTTCTCATGTCACAATACAGAACTGATGGACTTTTCCAAGGCAAACCTGACAGCAAGGAGTTCAGGGTGGAAGAGAGGAGGAAAGCATGTCATAGAGTCCAAAGATGAGGAAGAAGATCACTCAACACTGATTGCAAAGCTGTCTGCAAGCGACCTTGCAGCAGGTCACAATGGAATTGAGTTGGATGATGGAAACACATCAGAGGTACCTGTGGGACAGAATCACTGGAATGCTACTGACATTGACATGTTGCAGGACTGTGTGGAGGAGCTAGATGATACATTCCTCCCTCCCGGTTTAGAAAATTGGGAGAGTTAGAACCATGTCACATTCAAGGAGGGATATTCAGAGATTTTTTTGAAGTTGGGGGTGTGTCATATCCCATATGCCAGACATAGATCCCATCACATTCCCACGCTTTCCGGACCTATTTCCGGACCCCATATCTGACTCATTCCTAGATCCCCTATCCTGTCCACCCTACGCACATTCCATCCAGCAAGATATCTGGACTTTACCTCCTCTCAGATTCTGGACTATATCTACCACCTCACATGTCCTGTTTCTGCCCTGCCTTCCAGATCCCCAGATCTCTGGACCTCTGGATATTGACTGTTACTATCTCCGGACCTATTCCCACCCTCCATCCAAGACCCTGCACCTATCCCCATTTAGGCATCTCCACCTTTCAGTTCTCAGTTATCTCTGTTTCCATCTTGCTGATTGATCCTTGTATGAGTCTTCATCTCTGAGTTCATGTACTTATGTTCTGTCTTACTTACCAATGTGTTTCTGCATGCTTGTACATAGCCTTACTCCTTTGCTTACTGATCCTCTCGGATAGCCTCTAGTATATAACCCCCATACAACTACAGTAGAGTCCTCAGTCTGAATATTACCTTAGATCTGCCCAATTATCTTCTGGACTTCAGTCCATCTGAGTCTTGTCCTTTTCCATAAGGCCTAGGGAAGGATTCCCTAGGCCGGAATTCCAGACCTTTGGATTTGTCCCCTATGTCTCTGTCCCAAGTCTAGGGATTGCTTCCCTAGGCTAGAGTCTTGCCTTTCTGGCACTTATCCTCTCTCCAGACTTTGGTCCACTTCCTATCTCTCTGACTCTACCTTAGGGTAGTCTACCTCTGTTTGCTTCTACATTAGACTTCATCTGATGTAGCCCCTATTCCTTCTGGACCTCCAGACCTCCAGTACTCCTACCTGGACATCCTAACCTCTGGACATCCTGTCCTATGCACCTCCAGGGTGTCCTATCCTTCAGATGTTCTGCCCTCCATACCTTCAGACATCCCATTCTCCTAACCCTCAGACATCCTGTCCTCCTGTCCTCCATACTTCCAGACCTCTGGACATCCTACCCTTCCATCCCGTTTCCTGTAGAAGTACTATCTTGCAGTGGGAACTCTCCTGAGCACTTCCTGCATTCCTCCAGAACTCTCCCGCGCTCCTCTGGAAGTCCTCTAGCACTCTCCACCAGAGTAGCCAGCCTCTGGAAGTCCTCCAGACTTCATTGGACCATCATCAGACTTCCTCTGAAATGAAGGGCACATACTTGGGTAAGGGGCACAGTGTATAAGCTGAGGCCAAGCCCCTCTGAGTCAGTCTCTCTCTCCTTTGAGCATGGTTCTTAACAGGGTGTGGATGCTTCTTTGATTTCGCCAGCTGACAATGACACCCATGGACACCAATCTCGATGGCCTGGTTATTCTGGAAAGTCCACAAGGAATGAACTTTCATAGTGAGGACAACTTTTATGAGGCTCTTGGAATGGAGTAATTGTATTCTGCTATTGCTCATATGGAAACATACCCTCAATACATGAGACATCTCATGCATAGACTTGGTCAGTTGATCACATCAGCAGACAATGGTGATGGTCCCCTGGCTGTAGGTTCACCATCAGCAGTCACTATTGGGTATGTCTGATCAATTTATATGTATATATAACTGACATGAGCATTAATATGATGCCTGATACATCTATGCCATGGTTATATCTCAAAAGCAAGATGCACAAGGACAAGGCTACAGATACAGCTGACAAGCAAGGAATAGTCACACATGCCATGGAAGACATGGCAATTGATGATGATGATGTCCCATCAGATGGGTCAGTTGATCAGAGCAGCCACAATGATGTCAAGCACAAGAGAACATCTTCTCAGCCATTGCCACCAAAGGTGAGTTGTTCTGTCTTAATGTTTCATCTCATCATCACACCTTCCAGAAGGATGGTGGTTGTGGACCATTGAAGCATCTGAAGGCAGTTGTGAAATCAATATCTTCTTCAATTCCCACTATCCAATCACTGATTGTCTTAGTTCAAATGACACCTGAGCCTGAGGGCTTGGCCACCACCACACACAACATTGGTGATGCAAGTGGAGTGGACGACGACATTGATGCTGTTGGTGATATTGATGATGAACAATTGTTCAGTTCTCTTTCTGCCGATCCTTTGGTCATCATACATTCTTGTGCTGTCATGGAATCATCTATAACCACTGAAAATGCTCATGTGAGTTGATTTGTCATTCATTGATGCAATACACCAATTCTGTAGGACTGGCTTGAAAACATGCTTTCTCTACCTGGCTAAGCATACAATTCAATCAATTGCTACTCAGCACCATTAGAAAGATTGGTTAGATGATAGCACAATACAAATCTTGCACTTGTTGATGTCCCCACCTAGTATTTGAATTGTGTTGATATATCATAGTGTTGAAAGTCATGTGAATGTGCATTAATTGGCATGCGAAGATGTGTTTCTACCTTTATTCTGTTTCTCATTGATGCCATGACCAATCAAATATGTACACTTCAACTGAGTTGTTATTGAGGTGTGGTCTTTCAATTCTTGCCCATTGAACAGATGCATTGTGTCATATGTCATATTTGTGGTGCCTGAATACTTGTAATATAGCTAAATCAGGTAAATAACAAGATTTTCATACATTTGTTGGACATGTTCAATGCTACCTTTCTCTCTCATGTCACTTACAGGTCTTGATCTGACCACTGGGCTACTGGGAAAGGAGGTCCCAATGGAAAGCTAGATTATCACATGGAAGAGTGGTCATACTACTATTCTTCCTATGGTTTGCACTGACACAAGTATCAATGTTTGCGAGGCCATTGACATTCCTATTATCAAGTTCATGGCTGAGTTTCTAACCTCTCTTTCAACATCAAAGAACATTCTACATCTGACCAAAGAAGCACTTGGGTGAGTTGAGATCTTGGATGTCATCAGGAACATGCTGGGCTTGAATATGCCAGTTGTGATCAGAGGTGTGGCCCATGATATGGTCAATGGAAACCTATTAGTGGACTCCATCAACAAACACTTCACAATCTCTCCACACCATCCTGTGTGCATTCATGGTGAACATTATATTTAGGCCTGATGTATAGTGCATTATTAATCAAGATTGTAGATGTGATGTTGTGATTGATGGACCATGTACACCCCACAATGACTGGCATGATAAAGTCATTCTGTGAGTCAATGGATGACCCAACAAAAATCCAATGCATCCTTGACCTGCCACTTGTGCAAGCAGTGATGCCAAAATCTCTCAGGTAAGTGTGACAATTATCTGTGTTAACACCTTGTAACATCACAATGATTGTTCAGGAACATTGATCATGGGCTCATGCATAGCTGGAATCAAATGTTGGAGCATCTGAGTGGGTATCAGCAGCACATATCCTATACCAGAGTGATCAGTTCATCCCTGGTGATCTTGTGGACAGGGAGAACCTTTGACATGTATTGACACAATCACTACAGTTGTAGAACATCTATGCAGAAAACAGAGTTATGGAATTGGTGTTATGGAGAATGTGTACTCAGGATGTTATGCATAACTTGGTTGTCTGTTATTCTATGCTCAATATCGCATGCATCACTCACCACTGAAGCAGTGATTTGTTGTGGAACTAGTTGCACTGGCTGAAGATTGAACTTTCCATGAAGTTGAAATAGCATGTCAACAAGAATAGTTTTGGGGTGTGTTTAAGTGAGCTCCACAAATTTGCATGACTTCAGACAACCACATGCAGTTTATACTAAATACACACCATCATTTGGAGAAGATAGGTGGTATGCAAGACAGAATTGATGCAATTGTGCTTACCTGGCATATGTAACATTTGTATTGCATCATATGCAATGGCAAGAGGTATTCAATATTTGAGGCAAACCAAAGACTTTGTTTTGGGCATACATCCTTTAATATGGGACTAGACAAGAAATGCTCACATTTCTAAAGCTGATGCTACAAGTGAACATGACTAACAATATCAATGATATATTTATTGAGTACTTCAACACACATTTTCCTCTCCATTGCATCTTGATATGTGTACTTGCAGGCCTCCTGAAGCTTCTTCTGGTTCTCCATCTTGCCCTTGAGCTGATCTATGTCCTCACTCATAACATCAAGGAGTGCCTTCTGATACCTCACCTCTTCTTCTAAGCAATCAATACATTAGGCTCATTCCAACCACAGCTGGAGAGGTTTGAGGACAGTGTACAAAAAACTGTAGTAGTAGATACCACATGACTATTCAAACCCAGCATAACCTTATTCCTCAACCTCTCCAGCAGTAGCTAGCACAAAGCATTTGTAAACAAAGCTTAGCCACTGCAGCTGTGTCAAACAGAGTCTGAAAAGTAGTAGAATATATACAGTGGCTCAAAAAACTGTCTGCATGTTTTGACATTTTCACTATTTATAATATTGTGTGAGAACAAACAAATGCCTCAAGGACATGCTTATAGTACATTGTAGTATGGCTTCAGGGCTTTCATTTGAGCCCTACACCGTGGGAATTGGTGGAGATATGGTGGAGATACAAGGCTCACAAAATGGTGACTCATGCGGACAATTTTTTGACTCAAGTATTTTACAATAATAACCAGGTATTCTAGTATTTTGTATGACCTCCCTTGGCTTTAATAAGACAGAGAGAGGATATTATCTCTTTGAGCAGAGGAGATGGCTTTCATGGTGATCATGACTATGATACATGAGATATTCTGGTTTATATAGTTAGATATAGTCATAAAATAACATAATGACACCACTTCATAATTTATATAATAGTGGCATGATTTTTGTGGTGTGCACCAATAGATGAAGTCCTCGACACTCTTCAGCTCGTTGGAATCTCAGTATCTAACTTTCTGCTTGAGCTGCTTGCCAACAAGGAGTATATTAACCATATTGCAGTGAAAGATATCCTACAAAATAAACAGTTAATTCTTGATGCTCTTTTGAAGAGTGCAGAGGATTCTCTGAGTACTGAGCTTAAATGGGTGACAGATCTCATCAAGGATGTCTGTGCATGCGAAATGGTGGTCCTGTCAGTGAAGGAGAGTGGCTATCATTTCAATGTGGTACATACAGTACCAGAGCAATTAGAGGATTTCAGTATCAAGGAACTAGCTAAAGACATGGAGAAACTCGCACCTGTAACATGGGACTTCCTTGATACAGCTTCATCCATGAGAACAGCCTGAAAAATATGTACAGGAAAAGACCATGATGAGCATCAGCTCAAGGCAGGCATGGATAGTGACAAAGAAGCTTATTGGGAGGAGCTTGGTGAAGGAGATCTCAAAGGAATTATTTCTGGACTCACCAATGATGCAGAATCCAGTGTCGAGAATCAGTGGAAAGCAAAAGCCTTGCTGGTATGTATTCAGCCTTTGATATCAAAGACATTGAAGTTGATGCTTAATCTACAGAGAAAAGTAATGGTTATGAGTATAATGATGAGAAGCACAAACCAGAGATCCAATACCTTGCAAAGCTTAATGGGGATGTTCCTGCAGTCCACACACTCCCCACAGAAAGTAATCGAAATGCTCAAACAAATGAGAGTCTCTGTATCTGTTAATGCAATATTTGCAGCCACACGCTCATTATCAGCACAAACTCACCACACACTCCGCTTGCTTGGACAATCACTCCTTGTTGCCTATGCATATGACAACTTTGACATTGACCTGAAATCTCATGAGCACAAAATTGAAAACTCAAACAAATCACTGAAACATCTTACATCCAGGTTAATGTTCCCTCTGCAGCACTGCACCTCACAAGAAGATCTCAAATGTTCCAAGGAGCTATGGCTAAAGTCATCTCTCAACCTTCAAGCAGAAGTGTTGCTGAAATGGGGGTGGAAGGACTTGCTCAGCCTTCAACCAGACACACCAAATTCATCAGGACTTACCTGTCATGACCACTTCAATTCGTGGAAGTTTCTCTTTGACCTCATAACATATGGACCTCCATACTTCATGCAGTTTAAAGACCGGCTGCATGAACTGGAGCTTGTTGAAGGCATCCCCGTCATTAAAACACCCACTATAGCTGCATTAGCAATGGATGTTAGCAATTCCACTGTTGCTGGCAATATACAGAGTGTTATCAACTTACTTGAGCAAGGCAGAATCACAGAACCTGACACCTTTGATGATCCTGAGATCCCTGACATCTCAGAGTATGTCGTTCTGTTCCATGGTGACCTGGGCACAGGTGAATGGCTCCAAGTGGTACAGCAGCACCTTGCAATCAAAAACACACCTTGGGATTGATTTCAACATGTTGTATTCATCCCTGGTATGTTCCATTTGAAGATGGCAGTGGCAGACTCTATATGGCGAACATTTCTGCAATCTAGTGCAGTGCATCTCAATGAGACAAGTCTCATGCGAGATGTGGGTGTGTTGCATCCCAAGGAGATGGGCCTTCATGGGACAAAACCAGGGTTTCAGCAAATGCATCAGTTGATTGGGTATGATGGCATATGCCACCATCTTGATTGTTGGAGAGTTGAGGCCCAAAAACATGACATGAACTGTACAGATCTCGGGGCATTTGCAGCATCAGAGCCATCATATGAAGAACTACAAAAGATGGCAGACTCACTTGCATGGCATTATGTTGCTGATCACAAAATTCAACATATGTGGAACAAGTCAGCAGCAGAGTGTGACCAGCAACACGAAAATGGCCTCCATCTAAACAAATATGTGCTTCTGTATGAAGAGTTGTCATATGTGATGAACTTTGGTGATATCAGACAACTGGAGACTTGCCTTGTTACATGGATATTGATGTTCAAGGCTACTGGTAAACACAAGTATGCCAATGTGATGTTGGAGTTCTTATGTAATGTGCACTTTGTATATCCTGAAGGTTTAAAGTGAGTCAAGTTAAGTGCAATCAAACAGAGACATTGACTTACAATTTGTAGACACGCGGTTTGTTATCATATCCTTATCAACCCCACAGGGAAGAAGGGTAAATTCCATGGGGTTGACTGGTGTGTGGAGCTAAATAATCTATTCACAAAGGTGTGTTCACCTCATTGTGTGAAGATGGTGAAGTGATGTGAGGTACAGGTGATCAATGGAGGCAAGGTGTCATATCCCACAATCTGGACCCATATTCCATCATATTCCCACGCCTTCCGAGCCTATGTCTGGACCCCACTTCTTATCCAACTCATTCCCAGATCCCCTTCCACTGTGTGCTCCACACCTCAGCAGGATTGACTCTGCTCCAGATTTACCCCTGAGCTCCAGACCATCAGATCTCCACTGCTAGCCTGATCCATACCCCCCTGTCCCATCCACCTTATGCACACTCCATCCAGCAAGACATCTGGACTTCACCTCATCTCAGATTCTGGACTATATTCACTTCTTATATCCCGGTTCTGTATCTACCTTGTCTTCCAGATCCCCAGATCTCCAGACCTATTCCCACCCTCTGTCCAATATCCTGCACCTATCCCCATTTAGGCATCTCTGCCTTTCCAGCTTTCAGTTACCTCCTGTTCTATCTTGCTTATTGATCCTTGTACAAGTCTTCATCTCTGAGTTCATTTAGTTATGTTCCATCTTACTTACTAATGTGTTTCCACATGCTCGTACATAGCCCTGCTCCTTTGCTTACTGATCCCCTCAGATATTGTCCAGTATATAACCCCTGTAGATACTCCTGTAGTTCCTCAGTTCAAATATCATCTTAGACTTTGCTCTACTTGCCCAATCCTCTCTCAGACTTTAGTCCACCTAAGTCTGTCCTACCCATCAGGCCTAGGGATTAATTCCCTAGGCCAGAGCTCTGCCTTTCCAGCACTTACCCTCTTTCCAGACTTAGGTCCAATCCCTGTCCCTCCAACTCTACCTTAGGGTAGTCTACCTCTACTTGTTTCTACATCAGATGAAGTCCAATATAGCCCCTGTTCCTTCCATACCTTTGGATGTCCTATCCTCCTGTCCTTCAGATGTCCCACCCTCTGTACCTTTGGATGTCCTGTCCTCCTAACCCTTGGACATCCTATCCTCCTGTCCTTCAGACCTCTTGCCCTCTATACCTTCAGACATCCTATCCTTTGTACCTCTGGACATCCTGTCCTTCTGTCCTCCATCCTCCTGTCCTCCTGTCCTCCTGTCCTCCTGTCCTCCTGTCCTCTGGACCTTTGGACCTCCTATCCTTCCATCCTGTTTCCTGTAGAAGTATTACCTTGCAGTGGGAACTCTCCCGCACTCCTCCGGAAGTCCTCTGGACTTCATTGGACCATCATTGGACCTCATATGAAATGAAGGGCACATACTCAGGTAAGGGGCACAGCGTATGAGCTGAGGCCAAGCCCCTCTGAGTCAGTCTCTCTCCCCCTTGAGCAACATGGTTCTTAACATATACTAAGGTCATCCTGGTGAATGAAGATCATGCATCCTGATTTGTGAAATGCTATCACATTCAGGAAGTGCACATCAAGCCTCTACCCCAAACCAAAGCTATGTTGCTCTGCAATGATATCAAATATAATATCATCATCAACATCCTGTCAATCTGCAAAGACATCACAAACCTTTCCATATCATCACACAACAATGCTGACAACATCTGTCCTGACCTGACATCTATACACCATGTCCTGGATACCCTCCCACTCACAGCACTTTCTTTGAAGATCAGCTCATCACTTACTGAGTCTTCCATGGTCATGGCTAGCACATTTGCTAGACTCACACATCTTGAGATCAATGATGAAGCAATGCTTTGGCATGCTGACATGGGAGCCTTCCCCCAGTTGACCCATCTGGTGCTTTGGTTTGACTTCTTCAACTCAAGTCTGAACATCCTGAGGATGGTAAAGTGTCTTCTCCAACATGCAAGCTTGAAAGTCCTTGTGTTCCATGCACTGGGTCACCACGCATGTGCAAGGTTCCTTTAATCCCATGAAATTTTAGACCCTTGTATTATTATTGGACCTGCACAAGGGTTTGCATGGGATCATTTTGGCAATGCTTCCATGTTACTTTGGGAACTCACCAACAAAAAGATGAACATGCCTGGCCTGAACCACAGTCAGTACATCCAGGCCACTATGAGATAGTGATCTCAATTGATGACATCACACAGGAAAGCACCATTGCTTCTCAAACAGCACTTTTGAAAATGGAATCAGGGATTTCATGGCTCTTCCTCATATACCTGAACACAATATAGACCATGAGCTCATCAAGTGTTTTTTGGCTGGGGTTCAGTGGACAGATCAAGGAAGCCAATTCTGATACACAATGACTCCAGTGACAACTCAGATGATTCTACTGATGAGATCCTGAGGTGGATCCCACTGACCAGGTCATTGACTAGGATTCCCATAATGATAATGCATAGGAGATGTCCATTACTTATCCCACAGATGAGTAGTGCGGTCCAGGAGCATATTTCACATTGTTTGTTCTGTTTTGTATGATCTGTATGTCTGTTACCAAGTATATTCATGTACATGCTACTAGATGACCATCCTGCATTGATGCATGACATTACAATCAGCAGTTGGTCACTTTGGCTCACAGATGGATGCCTTTGCTGATGAATATATTACTGAATAAGCATGCATCATATCACTGGCATATATCTAGTCATTTGTGAATTAGTATATTTGATTCAGATTGTTTGCAAGGCCTTGCAGTAAAAATCTCATTCTTGAGAAATTCAATGGGACCAACTTCAGCAAATACCAGGATGAATTTTGGCCAAGTGTTGAGGTGCAGACATGGGATTGCAGAAAGACATCACTGTGATATGTAAATGCCAATAGACAATACTGCATGGCTTTACATATTCTATATGTCATGCCATGACATTCTCAAGTCACAGACCACCAATGAAGACAATCCTGCCTGTGAGACATGCTATGTCAAGAGGCAATGAAAGTCAATCAGCAAGATGTCACTGCCAGAGCTGCAATATTCGTCCAGACATACTGGACACCATGAAATTGGTGATTAAACAGGACAGTGTACCTTGAGGTATACATACCAGGTTATTACCATGCTTGGCAGTGTCAAATTATGGCTGAGATAATCTGGGTGGTATGGCCCAGGGAAGGGGTTATACACCATGTAGGAATTGCCTGGCACACACACAAACTTGCTGTCAAAGGGGATGTCCATCACATAAGTGTCACCTGGTGCACTCATAAATTCATAAATTTACAGGTGAAGGGGTTATACACCCCAGAGGTATTGTCCAGCTCACCCATAAACTCACTCAATGATAATATACATGCAATGCTGCAACATAACATCAGACCATGATACAACATGCATCTCTGAGCCCCACTCCAGAATCACTACATTCGATGTTACAACTGGAAAAGAATCCTTTGTGGCAGGTATGGGTTCATTCAGCAGTGAGGAGGACTCCCCTGTCATCAGGGCTGGCATTGCTGCTGATAGGGCAGAAACCATCTTCATGTGTTTATCAATTTCGATGTTCTCGACTGTGGGAGTAGATGACATTGGTGGGAAACCACTGGTAGTGTACAGGAACACCACAAGAGATGAGATCATGCAATCCTGAGACGGAAATATCCATCCTATTGAAATCCATGATGCATCTGATGGGCCAACAGGAATCAAGGCCAGTGTTGGTCACCCTGAGTATATGCCCCCACAAGCCAGAGTGTGTGTGCCAATGCAGGTCTTGATGCAAGTTGTAGACTATGAACCCATACTGGTCCAGTATATGTTGGTGCGTGTCACTGACTTGTGTGGCTAATGTCTCTTTGGACAGGAATGAGAAGTCTATCCAACCCTGCCCCAACTCTGCAGGGATAATGTACTGAGGCTTGTAAGCTGAAATGACTGTGCCAACGAGCATGTCAGCATTTGCCCAAGTTGCCAGAAGCTTAGTGTGCATCTCTGAAGATATGTGCCAGCCTCTGGGCTCTGAAATGCCCCAATCACCACCTAGAGGCCAGGCAGTGGCAATCCAACTACCATCCAGGAACAGTCAAGTATTTGGCTGCTTGCTGGCAGGAATGCACAGTTGGTATGGCCTCAAGTTGTCCCAGTGGTCTGGAGTGGTTGACCAGTCATGGTCTTGGAGGGCTCCATTGCTGAACATTTTGTTTGTTCTCATGTCAGGTTGTGGAGGGGCTGGTCCTACCCTTGGGTATATTACATTGATGGCTACCCAAACATACTCCTGACCATCAGTTTTCTTACTGGTCACTCTCCACCACAAAGATTGTTTGTCTACCAATCACTGAAGTGGTGAAGATTGTCCTCTATGCACATTGGACATCATGATAATGTTGGGGAGAATGAAGTCAACAAATTCATGACAAGTCACAGAAAGCCCAGGAATATCATCATTCCAAGGTTATTGACAGGAAGGCTATGAAGCTTGGCATGGGGGAAGAATAAATAAACAAATTCGCAATGAATAACTGAAAGCCCAGGAACATTGTCATTCCAAGGTTCTCAACAAGAAGCTACAAAGATTCCAGGAATATCATCATTCCAAGAGTCTGTGTAAAGGTGGAAGGTAAACTGAAGGAAGAGCAAAAGGCTTGCAGTCCCTATATATATATATCTTGCTTAGCAATTGCAAGTGAACAATGCATGTGGATGTGGAATTTGGATGGTCCATGGTCCATCTGCCTCATATGACTCATGCTGTTGCCTGCATTAATGGCAGCATCATTGGAGGCAAGGCTTCTGATGCCAGTAGATAGCCTTGAATTATACATCATCATCAAAGCACCTGATCCTTGAGTGATGGAATAGAGTGAATTTGAGATGTACATGGGATTTGTGGTTCATGAGTCATAGAGCATCCAACTGAGTCTCAACAATATAGTGTGACAGGGATCATTTCAGATGGAGAATTTGTGTGCAACATTGAACCCACCCTCCTACTTTGTGTTTTTCTGACGATCCAAACAGTGTGCCTCCAGTGGCTTAGTACAAACAGGGAGATGAATGAGTGGGCTGACTGACAACCTTGATCCATGTGTTTACTGCCAAGAAAGCCTTGTACAGATTGTGACCATTCTAATGAGTGATTGTTCACCTGAGTCAAATGCTAGGGCTCTGCATCTTCACTTATATGACATGGTATGTCTCTCTTGGGTCCGGGTGATTGTAAGCTGTCACACAAATGATTGGGAGTTGTGAGGTATGACAAGAGGATCACCGGGGTGCTATAATTACCTAGGGGGATGAACTTCTCATAAAACATGAGGTTTGAATAGGAATGCTGAGCATTCCTGGTGTTCAGCACAAAGGGGCAGTACTTTTTTCAGGACTGTCCATAATTGACGCTATCCTGTCCGTACAATAGAAATTTGGAACAAGTTTAGAGCGAGGTCTGCAACTCTACACCTTTGTGATGACTATGGAGGGGTTGGATTGGTATTCAATGACTTGGAATTCCTGGAGTCCAGATGGCTGTTCAAAGACAATCAAGGACCCTGTGCAGAAAGCCTGGCCTCTCACATGGGGTCAGGAGACAGACTGAACTGCAAATTTGAATGTTGCAAGGAGCCAAAGAGAAGTCCAGAGAGACTAATTGGATTGTGGGAATATCATTATTCCAAGATTCAGATGATATTATGGGTATGGGGAACAGAAGTTTAGAATCCAGGAACATCATTGTTCCAAGGTATGTGTATGAGGCATTTCCATCAGTGCCAGTCACCTCAGCTCTCTTCAGGTAGCCAAAGGCCATTGTCCTGTCGAAAGTGCGCTTGACACCAGTGAGCTGCAGCATTGCACAATCAGGGGTTGTTCAACATCATTTGAGTGCTACATACCTCTGCAAAGCAAGATACAGGCAATCATCCATGTATGCGTTGTAATTGACTGGAGGTTGGGGTCTGCACAAGGGATCAATTAAGTTGTCACTTGAAAAACTAGATGATAACAGACCATTGAGATATCCCAACAACTTGTGACACTCGCTTGGGTGAAGAGAGGAGGAATCTACTGGGGATGTGCCAATGGTGGGTCTGTGTAAGACCATTGAAGAGTGTCCAAAGCTTCTTGTTAAGTACTTGGCAACAATGCAATATGCATGGAGCCATGGAAGAGGGACATACTCAAGCCCTTTAGGACAGGTGGTAACTTTGGGTAGTATCTCATAACTGCATCCTGGCAGCAAAGGAAGTGCTTGCACTGATGATCAATGGCTCTGCAAAGAATGAGAGATGAGCTTGAATATACAGTCAAGACTCACTATCATGAGAGTCTGCCCAGGTAAATGCTCATCAAGTTTGGAAGGGACAACAAAGTTGGACAAAGAGCAGCATGATTGTGATGACTCAATGGTCAGTGGTCACACTGCCTTGTTAGGAAGCACCCCTTGCAAATATAAATGTTGAAATGTAGGGTTAGAGTTAGAGCTCTCAGCTACATTTCAAGGGAAGGGAACCAGAAATGCTATGCATGGGATTTTATAAGAAAAGACTGGGTAATTATAAAGAGCCCCAACCTTATTTTACCTTGAAATCTCAGGATTTTAAGGGTGGCTGAGAGCTCTGTCAGACCATCAGCAAAATTTTACATGTAAAACCAACATTATCATTTACCAAATGTAGCATTGGTATTTGTTAATATATATACAGTGGCTCAAAAAACTGTCCACATGTTTTGACATTTTTCACTATCTATGATATTGTGTGAGAACGAACAAATGCCTCAAGGACATGCTTATAGTACATTGTAGTATGGCTTCAGGGCTTTCATTTGAGCCCTACACTGTGGGAATTGGTGGAGATATGGTGGAGATACAAGGCTCACAAAATGGTGACTCATGTGGACAGTTTTTGAGTGTATATTAAAACTATATAAATCATTATTTATGACACCACAAAAATCATGCCACTATTATATAAATTATGAAGTGGTGTCATTATGTTATTTTATGACTATATCTAACTATATAAACCAGAATATCTCATGTATCATAGTCATGATCACCATGAAAGCCATCTCCTCTGCTCAAAGAGATAATATCCTCTCTCTGTCTTATTAAAGCCAAGGGAGGTCATACAAAATACTAGAATACCTGGTTATTATTGTAAAATACTTGAGTCAAAAAACTGTCCGCATGAGTCACCATTTTGTGAGCCTTGTATCTTCACCATATCTCCACCAATTCCCACGGTGTAGGGCTCAAATGAAAGCCCTGAAGCCATACTACAATGTACTATAAGCATGTCCTTGAGGCATTTGTTCATTCTCACACAATATCATAGATAGTGAAAATTGTCAAAACATGCAGACAGTTTTTTGAGCCACTGTATGTAACATTATACAACTTCCAAGACCATCACAGATTTGAAAACAGTACACAGTGCTAAGCATTGTATTTTGCCAGGTCCCAGCAGAGGTCACAATCTCTAGGGTACCCCAGTTGGCCAAACATGTGACAAGTGACAGCATTAGACCTGTGATAGGCCAGATCATCTGACATGCTTGCTGGAGCCAATTTGAAGTGCTTTCTCCATTCTTGGCAGTTTTGGAGGGCATCAGGGTGGGAAGCTGAGAGACTGGAGGGGTGTGATTGGAACCACAACTCATTATTGTCTGACCAGGACCCTTTCCACTGAATGGATGCATTCCAGAAATCATAAGGGGGCCAACAAGAGACTGTTCCTGCATGATTGCAACCAAGAAGGATGCCTATTTCTGCTGGCATTGCAATGTCTTTACAAAGGCTGCCAGACATGTCCATTCTTTGCCAGGCAGTAGTGTATGAAGAAGGGCCTACTAATGCCTGTGTGATAAGGTTGGCTGGACTGAACTGAAGAGCTAACTGCCACAATATTCCTCTGAGTGACAAAAAGCAATGAGCGAATGGTTTCTTGAGCAACTCTATGACTCTCAGTGTGTAAGTGTCCCAGTACTGGGGGTTCTGAAGATTGAAGCCTATGTACTGATCACAAGTGGCTAGATAGGCTGGTCAGGGGCCAGGCGATTGAGGTGTCATGTTTCCAAATGGTACCCTGATCTGGTAGGGTGCTCCAGACCTAAGCAGGCCTGGTATGGAATTTGCTGGGGAGGTGCTGGGATTGATGGACATGTCATAGGCAATGCATATGGCTGATCGAAATGTTATGATTAATTGGCCCATACACTGGGCTGGAATGGTGGGGAAAGTGACACTGGTCATGAAGACTGGTGGTCTGGTGAGTTGTAACTCATTTATCCTGTAAGTGTCATTAATGTGCTGCAAGGTCTCATAAGAAAATATTAAGACTTATAACTGAGAAAGTGGTTGGGGTATGGGTGTGGATGAAACTGTGACAGCATTTTGAATCCTATCCATTGATGAATGAGTGTCCTCCAGGACCTCTGGGGCAGATGAGGGGGACATACCAACATCTGGTAGTGGATGGTCCTGGAGGAGAGCCGGTGGCTCACTGGTGAGTTGTTCACATTGGGCAGGTCATTGATTGTCCCAGACTCCACAATATCTCTTGGCCTCAGAAGTTAAAGAAGCGCTAGCAGAGAGTGTATGCTTCCTGAAAGGACTGCTTTCTTGGAGCATCACTTGCTCATCACCAGGCAGGGAAGAAGCACATGGACTGTGGTGTGTCACAGTCTGTGGCGCCAGTTCAGCTATGGTAGAGGAAAGGCATTCTTGGCACAGGTCATGCAGAAAATTACCTGCAAGGTCTAATTCCTCCTGGGAGAGGGCAATTTGCAAGGTCTTGTGTGTGCTGTGGTCTGATACAAAGGTGTATTCCTCAACAACATGAACAGGGGACAATTCCCCTTCATTTTGGGAGAGCTCAGTGTTCACCACTGCCATATCCACATTGGTGATGGTGGCTTTGGCAGCATCATCTGACATGTCCTGGAATAACAAAAATATTTTGCCTGAGGGTAATTGCTCACACTTTGTCTTGCACCAGTATGCCCAACATCTGTACTCTCTCCTAGAGATCATGGTCCTATCTCTGCTGCTACTAACTCAATGTTCCTCCGGTGGGGAAGACTCACTGCTCAGTCTTCTAAGTTCGTCATAATTGTTAGCCTTGGGATTTTTTGGGTCAAAGGAGCTAGCATCTGAAGGAAACCATTGGTAGTTGATTGGGACTTGGTGTTCAACAAGCATGAACAAATCTTCAAAAGGCAACTTCTTGAAGTCTACTATGCACCCTCAATATGTGCATTCTGCGAGACCAGTGCTGATTATTAAATCCCTGATGGTTGATAAGTTTGGATGCATTATCCAGCAAGGATGTTTCTTGATGTGAAACACTATGAACCCATACTACTCCAGAATGTGATATCAGGCTTCTGCAGCATTTGCAGCTAATGCCTCCTCTGTATAGAATTGATCACCTAACCAGCATAAGGAGAGAGTGGGGGGAAAGGTGCACTTGAGGTTATAGGTGAAGGTGAGAGTGTCAATTATGTTTTGCACTTCCTCACGTATCCTAAAAATCATTTTGCCCATATCTAACATTAAATTCCAATGCATGCGGTGATTACAAACACCCCAATCTGAGACCCAATGACCCACAGGGAAGTTGACATTATTGCCAGGGTTTCAAGGGATGTAAGCACAGTATGGACAATTGCCCAACCAGTAATGAACTGTTGTAGACCAATCATTCTTGTTCAAGACCAGGGGTGGCACTGGACCTATCATGGGTTCATCACTATTGATCACTACCCAGAGGTATGCCTGTCCTGGCACTGTTCTGGTGACTACATTCCACTGTGCCAATTTTGCTGTCACTAGCCACTGGAAACAGGAAGGTTGCACAATGCACATCCAATTCATAGGTATGTCTTCAAATGGAACTCAGGAACATTGTTGTTCCAAAGTTCAGGCAATAGTATGGGTACAAAGTGTAGAATCCAGGAATGTTATCATTCCAAAATTAAGAGAATATTATTGGTATGGGCAACAGATGTTTGGAATCCATGAACATTGTCATTCCAAGATTCTGATGATACCAGGGATATGGCAAAGAGAATTGTTGGCAGAAGATGATTGATAAAGGTCCTTATATTGAATGCCAGCTATGGCCAAATCATTGTGAAGTGGACTGTGGTCAAACTGAGACACAGTGTGAATTGGAGACATGACTCGAGATCTATTGTCCCTTATTTGTCCCTTATGAATAAATATGATAGTGATAATTAATAAATGATTTTAATTGGCTGGCTCTGCCACCTCAAGCATCATATATAGTTTACCTCATCAAGATCATGCTCGTTACCAATGATGACAAATAAACAATTTTGATTGGCTAACAATGCTACTGATAACATTCGAGGCTTTGAACTATGATGGTGTGATGTATGGGGTGGGGTACTTGGAATGGGTGCCACAGCAGGTAACAAGTGCAGAAGTGTTGGTGTGGCTTGTGAGCACAATGTCAATGAGCATGCCTGAGGCAGTTTGGAATATAAAACTGTTGGGGTGTATGCCTCAAACTGTGAATGTCAGCAAAAATGCTATGACAAACAAGGACAGTACTGACTGTTGGCCCACCAATACTTGACTTCAGCTTCTTAACATAATGGGCCTTGAGAATTCTGACTTCAGTGTTCAATTCAGCTCTGAGTTGAGCTTTGAGAGCACCATCAGAATCCTCCCCCTCTCCCTTATCAGGACCTATGGAGTCATGTCATATTTCTAGATCCTGGTTTGGGTCTTCAGAAACTGCTGAAAGTCAGCCTGATTCATATTGGTAATTATACACGATGCACCTCGCAGCTGCATTTGAAAATTGCCATGCTGTACTTCTTCTAGATCATCCTCATCATCATCACCTGCATTTGGATCACCTGCAATCTCATCCAGTTCTTCAGCTTGGAGCATAGACTTGCATGCCTGACTGGATTGCCAATCAAGTTCCTGATAAGCAGCCTCAGCATGTTCTTCTTGGGCAAGCAGGCATTGTTCTATAAAGTTAGATGTAAATGTCACAACATTGATAATATATATGTATATATAACTGTGCAATGCATGATGCTTGCCATACTGCACTTGTCACCTCAAATCAGTAAGACCAGTATGTTATTGTTTACATAAATTTATCACTGACAATTGATGATTAGAACTGTTCAAGAGATCATTGCTCACCTTGTGTGTTATGGTCACTCAAGGGAAGGCATATAGAGTGAAGAATGGCTCAATATCATCTGTGGTAGATATGGAAACAGCTGGGATCAGCGCTGCAATAGCACATGCAATCTCTGGACATCTCAGAGTCACCAATCAGAAGTCCATCCCTGTCTTGCTATACAAAGGGGATCAGTTTGAAAGAGGAGAACTTATTACATGAATGGCACTCATCCAAGTGTTGGTCCCATTTACTGCATTGTAGGATTTGATGTCATTGATACTCCTCATATGCCATTGTACAATACTGACAAGACATTCCACACCACACCATCATCCTCCAATGTCATCAGAAATGATGTATATAAATGTTGGCTATGTATAGCCTGAGGCAGGAACTTATTGTTCTATCATCAAAGATGCATTCAATGTATCAGTGTTCGCAATTGTTGACATGTGGCTGATTCAGTGTAAAATACATTGCTGTGATGTAGTGTGTATGGTGAATCCATCTTAAGGCTTTCAAGGTGTGCTCATTGGTGTCTGTTACAACCATGTATGCCCCTATTCATTTTCTCTCTCTTACTGTGTATTATGTCACGAGCCGCATGATGCCACCACTAGACTTATCTTTGACTCATACCTTGTATTACATCACAACCACCATTGCCATTGCTAGATGACCTATTCTTGCTATTGCTTATGCGTCCTTTATCTCTGACTCATATCTGTTCTCATGTCTGCCCTAAAGTACTTGTAGTTCACTATAAATAGTTCTCTTGTATGCTTTAGTTCTGCACTTTAATCTTACCAGGTTTTACCTGAAACATCCTTCACTTGAGACCTCCAATCTCTTGTCATCTGAACCATACTTTAAGTTGGAAGCACTCCTTCTGACTTAGCTTACACTGAACACTTGACTTATCATCTTGTGTAGAATCTCAGCAGAGGTCCTGACTCTTATCGAGTCATCTGTTGTTAGAACTATCCTAGTTCATAACAAAAGATTAAAGTCCCAATCAAACCTCTCCATCCAGGGAGGCCCCAGTAGCTCAAAGCAAGACAACCCCTTGGGTTAGAAAGTATTGGTGGGAGAGTGATCCAAATGACATCCCCACAGAACCAGAAGAAGAAGAATATCACGAGGCCAAAGGTCTGGATATCACAGAAAACAGAGAGACAGATACCATCCCCTGTAACCACAGAACCTGACCAACATTCAACCACATCAGCAGACAGATTCCCAGAAGAACAATTACCCCGAAATCTTTCTGCACATCCCAGTATCAGAATGTCCAGCTCTTCATCCAAGCTTAAAGCTGGAACACCAAAAAACTATGATGGAAGCCCTGACCATGCTTTAAGATGGTTGTTTTCAGTGAAAGCATACTTTGCTGTTAACGCATCAGTTTACAACACCAATGAGAAAAAAGTTATTACTGCACTCACGTATATGACTAAAGATAGTGCCATGGGCTGGGCATTAACATTTTACACCAAAGTAGACAACTCCACCTCAAAATCCTACAGAACATTCATGAACTTTGAAGCCAAGTTCAAAGAAGCATTCGCACTGGCAGATGCCATTGGTACTGCTATGAATAAACTCTGAACCCTGAAGCAGATGGGCGACCTCACTTCCTATATCGCCAGTTTCAGGACCCTTGCTGCACAAGCTGCTGTAAAGCAAGATGCCATCCTGATTACATTCTTCAATGATGGACTCAAGAAGGGAATTGGTAACACCATTTATCAAATGGAAACCATCCCTATGGACTTCGACAAATATGTCCAAGCCGCAATTAGACTTGATGGTAACTGGCAACATGGTGCAATATTCCACAACAACAATCACACAACCACAAAACCTACTGGTCAACATTACATTTCCAGACCCTCTATTGATTGTCATGACCCCAATGCTATGGAGGTTGACCACCTCACAGAGGAAGAAAAGACAGAACACTACCAAAATGGCAAGTGCTTCAACTGTCATCAGAAGGGCCACATCTCCTGTAACTGCCCGAAGAAAAAGAATGGCAAAGCTCCAGTGTGTCGCACTGAACCAGCCAAAGAAGATGAAGAGGAAGTCTGTCATATCAATGAGGATTTTTGATGTGGAAGACTGGATTGACATCAGTATCTTCCAATGTACCTATTAGACTTGTTCGAGGTGTAGGAATCAGAAAGGAACTTTGCATTCCCATTTCCCTTATCTCCAAAACCTGTCTAAAAACTGTCGAAACAACTGCTGTTGTTGACTCTGGAGCCACCAGAACTTTCATCTCCAAAGACTTCATTAAGCTCCATCAAATTCGAATGCATAAACTTATGAAACCATTCCAAGTTACCACAGCAGATGGAAGTTATGCGAAAGGAGGTGCAATTACTCACTACTGTGTCCTAATCGTGAAAATTGATGAATCATCCATGCTTGGAAAGTTCAACATTACGAAACTCAGCCATCGTGATCAGATTCTGTTAGGAATCCCTTGGCTGCATGCCATGGACCCAATTATTTGGTGGAAAGCTGAGACTCTAGAACTCAGTTGGACAGAGAAAAGTGATTTGATAGAAGAAGACATTGACACTGAACAAAAGAAGAATAACCTTCCTCCTCTCTTTCAGAAAACCATCAAAACCCTGATCGATAAAACATGGAAGAACTCCCATTTGAAGAAAGAAGAGATGCCAGTCATAGTGCTGCCAAAGGCACCTCCTGTGTGACCCATGCCAGAACCACTCCCTCAAACAACAATCAAAGAAATCCC